TGCTCCTCGCTAGTGAGTGGGAAGACTTCATGTCGGCAGCTTCTGGGAGCATGCTTCAGAATGCAAAAGCCTTATCGGAAATAGCCTCACTGTTTTCAGATAACGGTTTGTCAGTAGTGAAAAGTCAGGTGAGCCCACAATCTTTTCCCTTGTCTCAGCTCAGCCTCCCCCTCTGGCTGCACCCACCCTGTGGACCACTGAGAAGACAAAGGAATTCAAAGCCAAGATGGGAAAGGAGAAGAATGGCCGGATGGTGGTGAAGCGAGGCGAGGTGGTGACAGTCCGTGTGCCAACCCATCCTGATGGGAAATGCATTTGCTGGGAGTTCGCTACAGATGACTACGACATTGGGTTTGGAGTCTATTTTGACTGGACCGCAGTTACTAGCACTGCCATTACTGTTCAGGTCAGCGAATCCAGTGATGAGGAGGATGAAGAGGAGGAGGAAGAAATTGAAGGTTAGTGCAGAGCTTATAAGGGTTAATTTGTGGTGCTTGTTGCCATGCTGCTGAGAGTGTCTGTCAGATGCTGTAATTTCCATCTACTTTGTTTACTCAGCCCACTTGTTATCTCTGCAGCCTTTTGGGTTCTTGGTTAGGCTGTGATGAGAAAGCATTTAGCCCTTCCTGCTTCAGTGTATGTCAATGGCTGTCTTTCTCCAAGAGTGTTCTTAAAATTGAACACATTGAAAAATAAAACCAGAATTTGCTTACTCAACTTTTAGCTGATAAAAAGATTAGGGTCTGAAATTTTAACTTGACTGTTTTTATTAGCCTCTCAGCCTGAGAAATTTCTGGTGGTGAGCAGGAGCAAAAACGTTTTGTTTCTGTTTTTTTTTTTTTTGGTTGGTGGTTTTTTCCCCCAGTACATCACTAGCTCCTCCTGACTGCCTTTGAGAGGATTGCTACCTGTGTCTTTGTATTTGTGAAACACAGAGTGATGTCTGTTTTGTGACTTCTGTGTATGTGTGACCAGCATAGCTGGGGGGTTGGTGTCTGAAATTAGTTTTGCAGGTTCTCCAAAGAGCGGTAGGTTCCTGTATGAGGAATCCTCTTGGAGAAGTGAATTGAGGACATAAACACAGTGAGGTTATAGCTAAGAGCTTTCCCACCTTTCTTTTGCTTCAAGTCTATATCACTGGACCAGTGTTGTGTGTATAAAAGCAGTGAGGTGTCTAAAAGGTAAGTCCAGGGAGAGGAGATGAGGCTGACAGGCAAGTGGATACTGTCCTGTCAGTATTCACAAGAGAACTGGATCTCGGCATGTCCTTTGTCCTGATAAGGAGAGCTGGATTTTGTGGGCGTTATTTGCAGAAAAGTCAGAATAGATGCTATGGGTAATGTTATCATAGTTAGCCTTCCTTATATCTGCATGCCCCTGATGCATTCTGCTCTTGTTGATCTTTTTCTGGACTACCTAGTGGCTTAACTGGCTCTGGCCTACTTACTTGTCTCTTCTCTCCCATTCAGGACTCGCCCCTGTTGGTGATGTGGAAAGAGGCTCCAAAAGCTATCTGCGGAACCGCTATGGAGAGATCATGCCCGTATATCGGAGGAACAGCCATCGGGAGGTGCAGGCAGGCAGCCACGAGTACCCAGGCGAGGGCATCTACCTGCTGAAATTTGATAACTCGTACTCTCTGCTCCGCAATAAGACTCTGTTCTTTCATGTCTATTACACCAGCTGAAGAAAAGAGAAGGGGCAGGGACGGCAGGCAGGTAATGGTGAGTGTGGCAGGCTGCCACCTAGCCCTGGTACCGCCTGGTGGGTGCTGCTGTGTGACAGAACCAAGGCACAAGTCTGCTGGCTCTTCTTCAGACACTAACTGGTTTCTTCCTACACCCTCTTTCCCCACTGTCCCAGTGGAGAAAGGTAGTTGTGACTGCCTGGTTGTCCACAGGCAGCTGTTCTTTCTCTAGAACTTCGGGAGGTCTGCTCTGTACAGGCATTGGGCTGGGCCTTCGTGTCACAGCTGGTAAATGCCCAGAGGCCAGGTTCAGGTGGTCATGGCTTCAATTTGTCATGCTGGTACGAAACAAAGTGAAAATATTCTTGATCTGTTAACTGTTTTGTGACTAACTTTTCCAACTCTTCTGCTGCATCTGCATCACTAGAGGGCGGCTGTCAGCTGCAGCGAGCCAAAAGCACAGCTGGCTTGTCACCTAGCCACTGATAATCTCATCACCTATCACTGCTCCATGTCACCAGCAGCTGGTGCTTCTTTCACTGGTGTGGGTGGGGGTGCAGCTGGCCAGCGGCAGCCCACACTGCAGTGGCTAGTCCATGCTGCAACAGGCGGGCCCCAAACGGCAGTCATGGCGTGTGTTTGAACAGGGGGTGGGGGGAGGGTGCACACCTAGAAGTCCTAAGAAGGTTTTCCTACAGATTAAGAATTGTAGATGATTAAAACTTCAGTGAGCACCAAAAGTTTTTTTTCTCTGTAATCCATATGTGAAGCAGAAGAAATTACTTACTGCTGTGCTGAGTAAACACAAAAAGGTTGGAGTACAGCCAATAAATATACAGGAAATGTTTCTTAGTAGCAGCATGTTGGTTCACTCGTATTGCTGCCAGCTGGGTAATACCATATGTAGCAAGGAAAAGGCTCTCCAGGGAAGTAGCTTCTCTGCTGCTATTGCTGTTGCAAAGGTATTGTTAGAAAAGAACATCTCTACTCAGAAACTTGAAAGTTATGGGACTTAACCAATCCTTTCTATGAACAAGAATCAGCAAGGCCATTGCTACCGCTGACCACATGGTAAAAATGATGAAGTTGCTTGGCATGTTTTGGTAGCTAGTGATAGCATTAGTGATCACCACCTGCCCAAGTACTGGTAGAGTTGAACAAGGATTAAGGTAATCCTTCAGAGATTAATTTTAAATCATGTTTATCTGTAACGGTTGTTTATTTTGCTACTTTTAACTTGAAATCATTCTCTTTTTCTAAGAATACTGCTGTATTTACATTTTGATACCTCTTTGCAGAGACACAAAATGGCTGTTTGCATGGTGATTCTAGTAGAGTTCCGAGTTTTATTTTTAAATCCTCCAGGTAAAGCACCTTTACTTGGTCCGTTCCTTCTATTGAGAGGGAATGCTGGACAAAATGATTTTGGGGTAGTTAAAGCCAAAGATTTCACTCTTGTGGGAGGGCCGCATATTTCCTATTAAGGCTATATTGTAGTGCTGCGCAGTTTGCTCCTTATTTAAGCTCTTCTTTTAACTATCTCTGCTTACTTCTTCACTGCCCCAGAGCACGTAGTAGGTCAAAGCGATAAGAGAGAGCAGTCAGTTTACAGTAGAGCAGCCCAAGCTGGGAGCAGGAGTGGAAATGCCAAGAACACTGGTTGGAGCACAATGGCTTTCTGGGTGAGCAGGCAGGGTGTAGAGTTGGTTAGGGTAAGGAGCAGAGTTGTTGCTGCTTTGGGCCCTGAGATGGGGAGAAAACAGCCACCTTTCTCAAAAGAGACAGAGAGAAAGCGCGCACACACCTGGGCAAGGGGGAACTGCAAAGCTGCCTTATTCAAGCAAGGGCAGCCACAGGACAACCATGCAGGGAGACAGAACAATAGGGCTTGGTATCTGTCAGAGTAAGATGCTCTTTCATTTAACAGCTTGGGGCAGTCTATTCCTTCCTTTAGCCTCTCTTGGGGGAGATGAAGGACCATCCTGTGGCCTTTGTACAGCACTTGAATCAGGCCTGAGCAACTTGGGTAAGGTGCTCTCCTTTTTTTTTTTTTTTTTTTTTTTTTTTTTTTCCTTTTTCCTTTGTCTATAAAGTTCCTAGGCGCTAAACAGAAGAAGATAGAAAAGACCCTTCAGACTGACCACAATGTCAGTGCTGTCCCACTCAATGACTGCCTTTGGTCCTTTCCTGTAAGATCCGCAGAACCCTGTGTGCACTTGCTGATTAATGTATGATGCGCTGTCTGGCACCCACTCCACTTTCTAATTAGGATTTATTTACGATGAAGGGAACTCTGACCTGTACATACATTAGATATTCCAGAATTATTCATCCTCAGTTGCTTGGCTTATTGCAGGTTGGTGGGTTATCTCCACTAAAAAATTGATTCCCTTATAGTGTGGCCTCCCGGTCGCTAACTTGCAGCTACTTCCCCATCCTGTCTGTCTGTTGCTCATGTTAAAGTTCAAAATACGTTTTGTCATCTTGTAAGAAGGCCTGCCTCACAACCAATTTTGATCACTCACTGACACACAAATGCATGTGCTAGTTTTCAAGGCATTAGTTAGTGGTTTTAGTTAAGGTAAGTTGCACTGTAGATGGTAATCCTATTGCTCAGTTCTAGCTTTCTGAAGTGTGGACCAATCTTTAATAATGTTCAGGTCACTTGTTTGGAACTGTGCCCGTCACCTAGTCAGTCTCATTGACTTAAGCGCAACAGCAGCATTGAATATGGTACGTCATCCCAATCAGCATGTGCCCAGTCTGCAAATGCAGTGTGCCCATGGACAGGCCTGCTGCAGTGGAACTGAAAGGGTTTGGTGTGTGGTACTTCACTGCTTAAGTTTCCCAGAAGTCTCTGGTGTCTCTTATGAACACAAGATAGTTTTAGGCACAGAATATTTTGTCTGCAGCAGACAGAAGCTTCACAGTTGTACAGGATAATTTCTCTTTTTTTTTTTTTTTTAATTTCCACATGACATGAGTATGTTTTTTTCAGGTATTCACATAGCATTCATTATCCAAGTGACAGCTTTTCTTTGGAAGGATATATAGCCTTTATTCATTTTCTTATAAATCCAATAGCTTGGCTGTACGGCAAGTGATTAACAGCAGCCATTCCCATTCAAAATCGAACCCATACTTGGTTCAAAGAAGTAATCTTACTTCTCATGAGTCCTCTTTTTCAGTTCAGTGTTATCTCCTGGATTTGTGTCCAATCCTGCTATCTGGCTGAGGCAGTGATGGAAACCCTTATTATTTTAATTTGAGACCTTTGAAACTAGACCTTGGGTCTAGAAAGAAAAATGAATTAAAAAGGCAGTTGCACTTCAGAGAGGGAACTTAATCCTTAAGAAAGGAAAATTCCTTCTTTGTTTCTGTGGAAGGAAGATTTTGCATAGGTTTTTAAAATAGGTTTCTTCTCCCTGTAAATTGTGTCTAGAAATTCAAAAAGCTAAATCAGGGAAGATGCTTCTTTTGCATTTTTTGGGTTTGCTTTTGTGAAAGCACAAAATTGTTTTCTGTTTTGTTTTGAATATAATTTAGATCTAGAAATAAGATTTACATGTTCAGCCAGAGATAGAAGACAGTGCTGTAATACCGGACTTGTATAAAAATTAGCTTGTATAATTGTTTATTTATAATAATGGTAACAATCTGCTGGGCATTTTTTTAATGTCAAAGAAGGTCATAAGCTCTCCACTGTTTTCTCTTTTCTTACCTTTAGGTGTAACATTAGCAGCAGGAGTTTAAAATGTATGTGTCTTACTGAGGACAGAGTTAAAATTGCTTATATCAGGGACCGCTTGTACTGATTTAATTTACTCACAAACTCTTTGGAGACCTGTAGCATGGATTCTTGTGAAAGGTTACTCGTGTCAGACATAGGCTAGTTGTGAATTAATGCTTGGGACCCATTTAACAGTTACGTAGATTATTATTGGTAATGTGCCGTTTACCAGAACAGGTAAGATGAAAATGCATAAGAGAAAGAGCTTAGTTGTCTGACTTCAGATGCTAAGAAGCAAGTTGAGTTACTATGCAACTGAGTCTAAAAGACAGCCATACAACTTTCTTTTTGGCTCTACCCTGTGCGTTTGTCCCCTTGTAACCGTGTGTGCATGTAACCTTCATCTATGGCCTGCAGTGGGTCACTTATCACAGAACCACAGAATCGATTTGGTTGGAAGAGACCTCTGGGATCATCGAGTCCAGCCTTCGTGGTGCTGGACCTGGTGAGGTGGGTTAGAGGTGAACCTTGTCAGATGTCTAGTTGCTGAAAGACATTCATTCTTGTGAGGAATCAGGGTAGAGAATGAATTCCTAAATGATAAAAACTTTTATCCCTGCTGCTTATACCCTTCCTTCTTGTCTCACTACCCCTACTAAGGCCACTCTACAGAGGATTTATCACAAGGTGCCTTAGGAGCAAGAAGCATGTCTGAAATAAGAGCCATAGATGTCATTAATCCAAGGGATTTCTGCTCCTTGTTTCTCTGCCCATTTGGGTAGAGGGGAGGCACTTCCTAAGGTCAGGCAAGGAGAGCCACTGTAGGCTGTTCCTGGAGACTTAAGCTGTTCATTAGACTGCCTCGTTGCTGTAAGATGAGTAGTAGAATGGTGTTTTTGAGTTTCCTGGTGCTGTAAGATCTTTGCCTTTTAAAATCATATGCTGCTATCAGATATCGAGGAACACCAGCGGACTATTCCTTTTGATACGCTGATGCTAAACCTGAGGACCAGAGGAACACTAGATAGACATAAAAGAGCATTCCTTGTGGCCATTCATCATTTTCTCTAAAAAGAGTGTCTGAATCCAGCATTGTGAGTGGTGTGTGCTTATGTGTATTGAGGCTGGATAAGAGACCAAAGTAACAAAGGTTTTTTTGATCTACAAGTGTGAAAGAAAAGACTGTTTCTCTTTTTCTCATATCTGGGAAAATATTGGATAAGACAATATTATGTAGATGTAGAGCACATCTCAGTTTGTAGAATAAAAAACTGGGAACTGATTGTGTTAAGTACATTGGCTAATTAGACTGTGAAAGAAGCCAGGAGTTTAGCAGGAGCCAAAGTGCTAAGTCATTTATCTAAATAAGTTGATTTGCAGTAAATGCCAAATAAATAAAGTTTTAGGAGGTACATAATACTGCAGAGTTCAAATACATCTTGCTAGGAGGAGAATTTTCTATGGGGTTATTCCACATTTGCCTCCAAAGAGCCTCTGGCAACTTAAAACACTGGTGCTGTTGC